TGGAAAGTTAATTTTATCGTGGTAAAACCTCACTCTGGTAGAACACAAGTGAGTTCTCATTCAATTTATGCTAAACATTTTCTCTTCAATGATGGCTGTTGACTCCCTTTTAATAATGAAGAAAAACGATTTGTTATGTTAACTAACCATATGAGATGTAGTTACAATTAACAATATTTCTTCCTCCCACCATTGCTTTCTATCACACTTCATGGTTATGGCTGATTATCAGTTTGGGCTTTCATCTCAGCCTGCTGTGAGAAAAATTGGCACAACCGAGTGCTTAACTTGCAAAATAAAGAAAATTAAAATATTTGGATTTTCAAATTAAATTTTGTGGGAATTCAGAATGAAGTAGGTTTTGAATGAGATTTGAGCTCTAATCCCATATATGATCTTGCCATGTTATTTAGCAGCACATTTACCTACCTGTCAGTGCAGCTGCTAACATTCAGGTGGGATTCACATCTTCATAATCATAACTATAACTGTCCCTTTTCTTGCTTTTTCTCTATATTACATTTGTTAATTACTAAGTCAATTTTTGAAATTATCAGAATTTTTATTATATGCAGTATATTTATATTTACTCAGGTTTTTTTTTTTTTAAATTTTTTAACTGTTCCTGCTTTAGTGAATGCAAGGTTTCCACAAATATCAGTAAAAGGAATATTTCAGTAAAGGGCTGCTGAAAAAAAGTAGGTGACAATATTTAAACATCTCTTTGGTTGAAAACAGAAGTTGTAGATATATTCTATGTATACTATCTTTATTGAGCAGGATATTGGAAGGTAACAAGTCATTTGTCTTTTTATGTCTATTTTCTTTTGCTGAAGCAAATATCTGTCTTTATTTTTGAAAATAAAATGTTTTTTATATGCAGTAGTCAGTTTGTATTTTATAACTTTTTTCATTAAAATAACTTAAAATATTCAAGCTATGACATTTCTAAAGCTTATTGTGTGAAGTGAATGCTTTTTTGTGTATGTCATATAAACACTACTGTAAAGAAACAAAATACACAGCTGCAATTTTGATGAGCATTTTGAATAAAAAAAAAAAAAAATGATGCTGTATAGGTACCTCCACTTTTTTGCGGGAAAACTGCATAGTGTAATGAAAAAAAGCCACAAACTTAATAAAAATAAAGTATTATCGTCAAAATGTTTATTAAGATGAGAGACCAAAGTGTTAATTGTTTTTTTTTTTTTTTTTAATTTTTTAATCCTTTCTAACACATTCAAAATTTTGGTTAAAATCTTGTTTGTTTACATCATCGGGGTGGCATAATAACATTGACTTTTCTGTGCTTTTTTTTCTGTTGAAAACACATTGATTTGGAAATTCTTGTAAAAAATCAAATAATTGTCTGATTTTAATGAAATTTTCAGGACTTTTTCACAAATGAATGAAATTATTTTTGAAAATTTTTTTTTTTTTTAAGAAAATTTTTTTTTTACATATATTACCCCCCTCCCCACTTACTTAATTTCATGAAATTTGTCAAAAAAAAAAACGTTCTATTTCCTGAATTTTTTTTATTCGTTAAAGTAGGATTTATTGGAGAATCTAAATCACCTAATCTTTTTTTTTTTTTTTTTTTTTCAAACTTGCACTATTCTAACTGAAAATCTGCTCTGAATTGGGAAATAATGAATGTAATAAAACTGACATTATTTAATTAGAAAACCTTTAAATTCTTTTGTAAATAAGTTATATTAAGAACATTATTGTCTGAAAAAATAAAATTTTTCAGATGAATAACGAATTTTTAGGAGAATTTTTTGTTTTTAAATTTTAATTATAGTAATTTATAGTAGTTTAAAATCATGTAAAATTCTGCATTGGGCTATTTCCTGGGTGTGATATAGTAATTTAAGTGAAAATAAAATTTAGAAATCAAAAATTGAAAAGATTATTAAATGTAGTTATGCTATTCTATTTTTAAAATAATTTTTTATTTCTTAATTTTTTTTACTTTGTTCCCTATTTTCATCTATGAAAGTCTAAACATGACATTATTATGAAATTGTTACACAATCTAAGTTTTCTCTCTTTACAGAGAAATTAATCCAAAGAAAATTTTATAGTATTTTAAATTTTTTATTTTTGCATAAAGTATCTTCGAAAGGTAAATAAAAGTCAATAAATTATTAGATAATTGCTGAAATTGTTAATTTGTAAAAATTACTAGGTAGTTAAAACCCTCAAATCCATTCACTTAGTTTTCTTAAATTTTGTATCAATTCTAGCCAGCCATACTAGCTGTCATCACTTTGTCACTCAATCGGCCATCCATTATCACCTCAGATAAGCAGGACCAAACATTAAATAAATGATTGTACTTTTTTTATGCTATAAGTAATATTTATTTCAAATAAGATTAATTTAACTTTAAATTTTCTAATTTTACTCAAATAACGTGTCAGAAATATATATATATATATATATATATATATATATTTTTTTTTTTTTTTTTTTTTTTTTTTCTGAAAGAATTTTAAAACTGATAAATTTTCTTTGTTTACAGATTTCTTAAAATTAAGAAAATTGCCACTTTTAAGAAAATTTTAAGAAATTGAAATTAAATTTGACATTCCAATCTATATAATTTCTATCTGAAATACACCAGAATATTTTACTTGCTGGAAATAATAAATTTAATCATTTAGCTTTCAATTAAAGCTAAAATGAAATCTTCAAGAATGTTTTTTTCATTTTTACAAATTCATTGTAAACTTTATGTATCAAATTTATGCCAAAATAGTGGTGGTACCTAATTAGTACTTTATTTAATTTCATTGTTAAAAGATCATAGTAATCACAGCATAAAAGAATAAAAAAATTTCTCATTTTAAAAATGAAGCATTAATTTATCAAAGTTTTTATAGAAATGTTTTATGGCTTACTTTTGAAGTCACATTGTAATATTTTGCAGGAAATAATTTCCTTGTTGATCTCTTCTATTTTGTGTGAATTACTGCATAGATGAAACATTTATTGGTTGCAAATGCCACAGCACATGAGTTTTTTTTAATTATAAAATAGTCTAGCCTTTTTCCTGTTGGTTACTCTTTATTCTAAATAATCTAATGTGGGTTTTCTTTTTGAATAGAAAGATTTTGAATCTATGCTCGAACAAATAAATTTTGACAATTTCTCTTTTCATTGCTTTATTTCAAATATTAACAACAAATTATTTTCATCCAGTTTCCTTCAATGTAAAAAACGTGACTGATTTGTAGATAATAGACAAATTAGTATGGCAGATCTTGTGAAGATTGCTTATTATATAAGTAACCTCTCCTTAGTAATGATCCACATTTTTAATCAATTGCTTTCCTGTTTTTTTAAAAAAAATTTTTATTTGAACTGCTTTTAGTAAAGTAGTTTCTTGTAATATGAGAGCCTTCTCTACCTTTTTGCACTTGTCTATGATAATGAAACTGAATACAATTGTTTTTAGAATTAGCTCTTTTGTGTTCAGGTTTTATTCCTTTCAAAAAGGCCTAGTCATAATATTTTTGATAGTCACTTATGATAGCTAATGTCAGTTTCAAAAGGTCTTTATCTGTATCTTCAATATTCAAATGACAGACTGTCCTAATTGTTCAGTCTGTCACTTAACAAGAGAAAAATGAATTGGGTATAATCTTGCACATAATTATCCTGTGCTAATAAAAATACTTTCTGTTGCCAAGTTTAAAATGTATATTTTCATCTGGCTCACTTTTGTAGGTTAACTTGCACTTAAACTTTTAATTAAAAATGGAATGAAAAATACTTGATGTCGAAATTAAAATTTACAACATGAACAACTTGATAAATCAGATTGATTAGAAAACTTTTGCATTTTGTCTGTTCTCAGTAAATGAAAATTATTAGATCCCTAAATTTGGAAACTGGAATTGATAGTATAATAATCAATTTAACTACTTGTGGATACTGGAAAAATATTAGGATACATTTGTTTATACTAAATGTATAATAATGAATTTATTTGAACTGTTCATCTTTTCTTGGTGGTTATCATCACATTTTGGCCACTGTCCACCCTAACCTTTTTCAGATCCTTGAAATGTTGAACTGAATCTTTCATTTTTATTCAGTTTATGATGGTAGTGTTCGTCCCATTGTTCATGCTATCCCATATTAATTAATTCTATTATTTTGTCCTTTGTTATTCTGCTTGTTTTGTTGAACAAGAGTATATGGATTCTACTGCTTGCCCTGGGGATTGATCTCACAACTTAGGTAAACTGCAATGCTTATATCCATCCATTAGGTCATTTTTCCATATAAAGGCATGAAGAATATTGAAAGGCTGTATTCTATGGGGCGACAATGAAGGTATAACTTTTTGTGTGAAGAAAAAAAGTTATCACCAACCCTTGTGGAACAAGGTGAAAATGATAGTAACATTGGTGCATTAGGTGATTGAATCAGTGCACATGTTAGGCTGTGCATAGAACTGAACACTTGGGGGCCTTTGATCAGGAAACAACAGACCTTAGATTTAAGACTCCAAAACACTCCTATGAAAGAGACATTTTCTGAAATGGGACTATAACAACCAATATGAGCACAGCAGTTCAAATAAATTTGTATCATAAACTCACTATTCTTTGTATTTAGTTCAACTTGCCAGTATTAGGAGTATTTTTGTTTTTTCTTAATGTAATCTCATTTTCAAAAGTGAAATTCATTAATCTTGAGTTTTTGTCAAAAAAAAAAAAATCACCTTTTTAATATTTTTTTCTTTCTAAAGAAAAATGGTTATATGACTAAAAGTTCCTAATAGGTTGATTATTTATAAAGCTTGATACATGTTTGTATCAAGAATTGGGAAAGCTAATTATTACTTATCCTTCCATACCACTATGACTGAATTAATTTTTCACACAACCAGAAGCTAGTAGCTACTATTTTCTTTTTTTTTTTTTGTTGGCTTAATCTTTTATCTATGGCTTTGGTTATTATTTTTTTTCTTTTCCTTGTAGCAACTTCTATTAGAAAAATTGCAAAGTCTACCAGTGGATGAAGAAGGTAAGTGTTTTTTTTTATATTGACAAATCAGAAAAGTTAAATTTCAAAAATGTCACTTGTAATGTAACTTGGAGATGACAGCTTTTCCACTGCATGAAATGTACATCTCTGAATAAAAAGCTGCGCATTTTTGTTTTGGCTATAAAGTTCAGTTTAAGTAAAAATAAGACATAAATTCATTATTCTCCACTAATGTCTTCCTTTGATCACTAAACATCTCAACTAGTTTCTCCAAATCCCAACTCTGTAAACAACTTTGAACACAATCATTTGTAGTACTTCTATAAATTGTACAGTTTTTTTTCTTTCTATTTATTGTATTTTTCCATCTTCAGTGTTAAAATCAAACAAAAATATGCAAGTTTTGAGATTTAAAAATTTTTTTTTTTTTAAAGTAAATGTTTTTTTTTTTTTTTTTTTTTTTAAGAAAATCCTAACGATTTTTGAGTCACCCCAGGATTATATCAATGATTTAATTTTCTACATTTCTCCAGAATATGTTAGACCCTGCTGTCCTGTCAACTTGTTCAGTAAAGTGTTCTCTTTATTTAAAAAAAAAAAAAAAAAAATCGATAATAGACCAATTTTCCAACAAAATTTAAATATTTACATTATTTACATTGTTTGGACTGTTGTCTTTATTGCCACGTTCATGATGTTTTGGGCATTGTAATGTCCTGCCTGCTTCAGGTGATTGCAATTTCAAACTGTACCCTTTTTTTCGTCTACTGGTGTAGATAGTTCTAGTTCCACATGTCACGCCTCTTCCAGATGTCAGTTATTTCCCTTTAACTCAATTCTCTAAGTTTTTGTTTACCACTGCAGTAGCCAGATATTGAACTCACAACTCTTTGAGTCAAGTCACTGCAGTGGTGAATGAAAACTTGGAGAATTGAGTTAATGAGAGATAACTGAGACATCTGGAAGAGGCATGGCATGTAGATTTAGAATAATCTATCCTGGGGGATGAAATAAAGTGTTTAATTCAAAATTCCGATCACCCGAAGAAGTCCAGAGCATACAACAGTTGAAATTGTGAACATGGCAATAAAGATGAGGACAACAGTCTGAATAATGTAAATAATTACAATACCTCAGAAATATAGACAAAATTTAAATAATTCAATGAGAATCTAGCTATAGGTTTATAGCTTTAAAAAGTATTGCAAAATTGAACTTATTATTACTTGAATATGTACATGCAATGATTGCTACTAGTATGTATAAAAACTGTCATGTTAGATGAGTCTATTTTTATTCAATAGGTATGTTACTCATCATTGCATTGCACTATTTGCCAGGAAATTTGAATATGAGTGCAAGATCTCAATTTCATCACTTGTAAATTTTGTCAACTGGATTACCAGATTTTATCTCTGTTTGCTCTGCTGTGTCAATTTATGTTACACTAAAATTATTTATAACAAAATCTTCTTTAAAAAAATATATAAAGAAGCCTTTTCAGGTTTTAGGCACATATTAGTTGCATTAAAAGAATTAATTACATACAAGACATTTCAGTATTAATAAAAACAAACTTTTCACTATATTTTGAATATATCACAGCTAGTAGTTTTTAACAAGGAATACAAAAATTTTAGCAAGCAAGCAAATATTTTTGGTAGTTTAATAAAAAATGAAATTAAACTAATTAAAAAAGAAAAAGTAATGCACATTATAATTATAAAAATTCCTTATTACTTTGTATGAACACCTTATTACTTCAAGCAGTCAAAATCCTGCAGGAGGGCACATTTTCTTTAAGTTTCCTCGAGTACACAGACTGGTAGATGAAATAAATATTCATGATCTCCCAAATCTGATCAGTGATCTCTGGCAATTTTCTATAATTTTTAATTGGGATCCTGGCCAATTTTTGAAATAAGTGATGCCCTTTCCTTGCAGTCAACTTTGAAGTATGACAGCTTGTACTTTTCTAAGGAAAAATTGCATTAATTTCTGTATTGGGCATTGCCTTCATTGAGTATACGTTTCTATCATGTAAAGGGATTACAATTTTTCCATCTGGAATTGCTTCCCATACTGTAATTGAGTGGTGTTTTACAATTTTCACAATATATTTTTTACTTAATTGCAAATTATACAGTTTTCTTGTAGTCTTGTGCTTTAAAAAAGAAAAGAAAAAAAAGAGTTTAATTTGACATCTATTTGAGAAAAATGATTTTTTTTCTAGTGCAATATTACCATCCTCTTTTGGAAGCATGCCACATACTTCTGTATTTCATTTGTTTTGCTAACAACTTCTAAAATTTCACCAAATAAATTATTGTAGACAACATTTTATATTACCTCCACAAATGGTATCTGTCAAATTCAATCATTTTGAATTTGATTTTTTTTTCTCAGATCTTTTTATTCTTAAAAGCAATTAAGGTTCAGCTGATCTTATATTTTTGGTGTCTCATTTTTTAGTCATTGGTAATATTTGTTTCCCCCCTCATTCTCTGAATTTCTGATATTTTTCACTATATCAAACTGTATTGAATGAAGCTGACAATTATTGTAACTGTTTGTATATCATCTTGAACACAAGATGTCACAGTGCATGATACATAAAGCTGCATTCTCTCACACAATGTCTTTTTGTCCTGATATGCCATGTTGTTTGGAATTACCTAACAAGAAATAATTTTTCAAGATCACACTAATCACTGCTATATGATATATACTCTTTATCATCCATTTGGCATCATTGTAAAATCCAGAACATAATGATTTATTGACTGATGACTTGTCTGAAGAACTAATCTGAATGATGAGGATTATATGCACCATTTCTGTTGTTGATAAATGTAAGAAATATAGTGAATAGTAAAAGATAATTAGTCGTCAATTTCTTGAAAGGGAATAACACAATGTTTACGTGGTATTCCTTTATTCATGTCAGGTGTTCAGATCTTTTAGAAAGAAAAAATCACAAATTATTTTCAACTCCAACTCAAATAGAAAAAAGTATTTAGGTGTATATTCTAAATTCTTATAATGTTAAGCATCAAATTTCATGTACACATTTGTCATTTGAGGATTATATATATGTGTGTGTATTGAAGTCAACACTTAGAGGCGACAGTCCTTTTCATACTAGACGCAATTGTGGCCTGACGATTACATCTAGCATGAAACAGACTGTCGACTCTAAGTGTTGACTCCAATGTTCACTTTTATATTTACACACGCTCTATCTCTGATATTGAGCACTTCAACTCATAAATACAGTACACCTTAAGAGTATATTTCTTCACACACACACACACACATATATATATATATATATATATATATATGTGTGTGTGTGTTTAGCCTAAGATAAATATTTAAATGGACATTTTACCTTTTTTGGTGTCAGGAACCTGTGCCCAATGTTTCAGAAAGTATTTTTGATCCCCCTCTCTCTCTCTCTATATATATATATATATATATATATATATATATATATTTTTTTTTTTTCTTAGTAAAGTGTTTAATTTTCTTGGGTATGTAAAATATTTCCTTGTACATATAATTATTCAAATTTTAATTTATTTTCTTTTTAATAACTTTAGTTAATAAGAAATTAATGTTTGAATTTCCTGGCTTTTGAAATGTTTCTTTCCATGCATATAGTACTTAATTTTCTGACAGGATGTTACTTGTTTTTTAATATGTACATTTCTTTAAAATATGAATGATAATTTTCATTATTTTGAGCTTCTAAAATTTATGTAATTGAAATTAATATAGCATTAGCAGAAAAGAACTTATTAAAAAATATTAGTTTAGAATACTCTGGTAAATATTTATTGTTATCTATGACACTTTCCAAATGAGCTTGCTAAAATAGTTTATAACTTGACAGGCATTTATCATGCATTATACTTTGTCAGTGTTTTCTTTTGTAGGAGCATGCTTCAATGTTGCCATTGTTGTGTTTTAATGAATGTTTAATGAATTCCAAACTTTAAAGAAAAAAAAACTGAAAATATGTGTTAAAAAATATTGCATTTTTATGTGCATTATATGCAAATTATAAATTCTTTTTCCAAAAAAATATTTGATTATTACATGGAATCAACTCCTACTCAAGTATATACAGTATTTTAATGTGTTGTTTTTTATATATCTATCTCTTTTTTTCTTTTCTTTTTTATCTTCAGAAACAGTTCCCAATTTAAAAGTGAGTAATGTTTTAATTCTCTGATTCTGTATCTAATGCATATCTAGTTTGTATGGAATGCTAAGTATCTGCACAGATAAAGAATTAATGTAATTTTAGACCTTTTCTCTAATTCAGAATTTCAAAAAAAAATTTTGCCATTAGTTTTTATATCACATCAGTAGATATTTGTAGGACTAAATAAAGCTATGTTAATGAAGTATCAAGCAAGGAATGAATTGAATAATCACTGAAAATCTGAAATTTGTCTTGATGGCAGGTCCTTAATAGCACTGGACATTGACTACGTCATCAATATTATATCAATGTAAAAGATGGAGTAATAGTATACTGCAATTTATTGGCCTTGGCACTTGTAACTGATGGTCATTTGAAGTAGTTCATCATCACAAATGCCAGAATTGTTTGAATACTCAGATTCACCAAGTGCTTTTTTTCTCTTCCTTTAGAGGTAGAGATGAAATTCCATTAAAAGTTATATCACTGTAATGTCTATTCCCTTCATCATACAGTTCTTTATTAGCATACATTGTAAGGAATTTAGGATTTTCTTTGGCCTGCTTCTCCTACTTAGAAGAAAACTACTTCTCTTGGCATGGAGTTCATACACTGAACAGAAAATGTAAATTTTTATTAATCACCAAAGTAAGAATCTATGGCATGGAAAGCACTAGTAAAGAAAAAAAAATATGAACAGATACTCACTTAAGAGGTTATGCTTATTATCTTCTATGACAGCTTAAGAAAAAAATATATGAAAAGACAATGCATGTTTGCAAAATTTGAAGTATAAAATGTATTCATTTTAACCTTTGCTGTAGGACCTAATCCCTGGAATTACTAAACAAAGAATCATTTAAAAAAATGACACTGATTAAATTTTAAAAATTAACTAATTATATTTCAATTTTTTATGAACTTATGCAATAAAGTTAAGTAAAAACATATCCAGTTTTTTTTTATTATATATAAAACTAGCAGGTTTCTTGCTATCACTTTCCAAAGTAAGATATATTCACTACTTGAAATCTTTGAAACAAAAATTTTAAATGAACATTTCATTCATAAATTGGTTGTAAACATGAAAGAAAACATTTGTATATATTCAGGTAGCTAAACATTATAATTTTAGCCATTTTTAAACAAATGAAACATGGTGAAACTGAATGTCTTAACAGGTGTTGACAGGAATAAAATACATATATTTGCATGAATGAAAAACATAATTGTAAAAAATTTGAAATCAAAATGAAGTTTTTTTGTTTTTTTTTTCTTAAATAATTCTTACTGTAATGCAGCAAGATAAACTACATTTTTTTTAAATTTATTTGGAGCAAGTATAAATAAATTCTTTCCATTTCAAACTCTTGAATTGGCAACATATAATTGACTATGAGAAAAGCAGGGTTGCATAAGGTTAAGTCCAATAACTTTCTTTGATTGACCTTGTGATTTATTAATAGTCATTACAAAACTTGTTACTGGGAATTGCAATCATTTAAAATCAAAATTCTTGGAATCTGTACAGTCTCTCTTTTTCCTTGACCAGTTATAAGAACTTCTAATAAGTGAAGTAACATTTTCTTCACAATAAGACATGTAGCATTACATAACTTTGGAGGATCAAGATTTCTTAGCAGCATTAATGGTACTCCTTGTTTTAATACCAATTTGAGTGATGGCATTCCTGGAAGATCTAAAGAATTCAAATTCTGCTTCGTCTGAATCCACAGTTGTATCATTGAATAGGTATGTCCTTTCTTCTGTTGGGATATCTTGCAAAATCTTCTAATTGATGATCTGTACTGTTTCATTTCTGGGAGCTAAAATTGCTCTCTCACACAAGCAATCTGTATTCAGGAAGTATATATTGGAGTATATTTTAAAAATTAATTCCTCGATGCTCTTGACCAGAGTGCTGAAACCTTCAAGGAAGCTCATTTGTCCATCTTGATCATGTGAAATTTTTCCATTTCCAATTTTTAAAAGGAGGTCACTAAATTCCTTTGCTGTCCCATCTCCATTGAGTACCACTCTCATATTAGTGATCAAAAAGTGTCTTTCAATATGATTCTACAGATAAGAACTTTCAGGCAGGCATGAAGTTGATGTGCAGCTGTTCCTCATTTCACAATAGGGAGTGTTTGTCTGATATCTTTCAGTGTTCTGTCTAAAAACCTCAAATGCACCCCTTGAGCCATAGTACACTCATCCCAGATTATGAAGCAAGTCACCTGAAGTAGCTTGGCTAGCTTTGTACCTCTATGCTGCACACTAGATTGTCATTATAGTCTAATGGCAGTTTAAATGTTGAGTGAGCAGTTCTTCCACCAACAAGCAAAGTAGCTGCTATTCCAGATGATACTACAGCTAAAAGCCACTGTTCTATGCACCCTAACTGAAGATAAAAGAAGATTAGTTAAAATGTTTTGCCAGTATTTCCAGGGGCATCTAAAAAGAAAATTCCTCCAGCAGAATTGTTGATCAACATAATCTCATTGTAGATGACTCTCTGGTCATTTGTAAGAACAGGTGTATTAGTCTGTATTTGATGGATCAGTTCTTCATGGTTGTATCCAGTCTCTCTCTCATGAGTTCTCTATTTAAGGGATCAAAATCTCTGTTTGGTTTGGGAAGTCCAAATGGTACAGTTTTTTTTTTATGTCACATTTAGCACCTTATCTTCTATTTCCTCACAGTGCAATGTTTACAATCCTTGGGTTCATTTGTATGGCTAATCCTGGATGAACCAGTTGCATATAAAGAACGCCTTCATTCATAGCGCCATTGATTTGAAATTTCCTTATTTACTTTGGTGATTGATACGAAAATGCCTCTTGTGAAGTTTGGTCCCAATGCGATCATTTTCTGTAAGGCCAAGTTGAATGCATGCCTGTCTGTATATCTCAAGAATATTTCCATCGGTTGTTTTCAAATTTTGAAATGATCTTCGACCCCTGACATTATGAAGAAGTCGAAGAAAGAAGCATTCAGAATTTTTGGGATGTGCTGTATAAGTACATCACTTACATTTAATAGCAGATTCAGTTGAATGAGGTTCTCTTTGCTTTCTTCCGTGGAAGCTTCCAGATTTGAATGTGTAATATTTAAATACTTTAGGATAGAGAATTGTTTTGGCAAAGTCATTTACATTGCGTTGGTTAAAGAATGCCATTAGGGTAGTGTCTTTGCAGTTTCAATACATTCCCAAGCATTGTTGTTAATAAAATACACCTGCTGTCCATTTTCAAGATGAATGCTCAAGTGCTGAACTGATGGATATCTGTTGTGAATGTTAAATGAAAAAAATTCTCCAGCCAGCCTCATTGCTAGAAATTTATTTTCCTAACTGAATTTTTTCTACTTCATTGTGGTATTAATGATAAACACAGGTTAGTAACTCCCCTTAAGTACTTGCACACATACTTTAATTTCACATTAAAGTAAGCATTGAATACTTTGTACAGAAGTGGATTACAGAGAACAAACCATTTGTTGTCTACCAGTATATTTTGTCTATTTCTTTAAAGTTCAATTTTTCTTATGTAATTTGGGTAGCCATCTGTATCTATTTTTGTGTGATTGACAAATTATCTTGGAAATCTTTTTGTATATCTGTTGTCAACCATGCAGGGACAATTGAAATTCAAATAACCACATGGTCCATAAATCATGTGTCTTTTTTACTATTTCAAAAAGCCCTGGGATCTTCATTGGGATTTGGCAGTTTTGCATTGGTGATAGAATGTATTTGATTTGGATTGATCTTCTCCTTTAACCATAAAAGTAAATGTACATGTGGCAGTTCCCTATTTTGCCACTCAATTGAATACATGTGACATTTTACAGGTCCAAATATTTTTTCTTTATTGATGAGATCCATCAGTTTGTTGACCTTCATCTTAAAAATCCTAGCAACAATATCATGCCTGTCTGTTGCAGATTGTCAAGGAAGATTTTTCTAAAATCTCAGGTCAATTTGGATTTGTAGTAAATATAACAAACAAATTTGGTTTGCCAAAATGTCTGACATAAGTGTTGGGGCGCACCCACCTTCTCATCAGAATGGACTGATCTCTCTACTACTAATAGGACAGTTCTATAGAGTTCTGGGGAAGATCAGGTGACCATCACACTTCGTCTCTCTACCGGAAGATACAGTTGGACTTTATACTCTTTCTGATTGTTACTGACTAACCTGTGTTCATTTGACTACTAATCTCTCTGTTGTAATACCTCTTCAGATATACCAGTATTTTTCCCTATGTATGTGTTTGTCCTTATTTCAATACATGCACGCGGAAACACTCAACATCTCAACAATAAGTCAATCCATCTTGAACTCTTTCATGCAAGTACCTTGGTCTATCTGTGAATGATGAAGGGAGAATAACTGTGTCGTGCATTGACATCATTGCCATCATTCTGAATTGCATCCTTTTGGTGGATGTATTCCTCTCCTCTTAGGTTACTTTTTATCAAAATAAATCAAAAGAAACTTTCTGATTCAATTTTTGCATACATATCCACCAAGAATTGTTTGAATAGTTGCTTGAATCTAGAGATAATTATAACAGTTACACTTTATCATAATTCTATATGCATAGAAGTATATGGCTGATATTTTTTCTGCTTGTGGTTAATCCAGTGTTCAAATGTCTTTGCCTGAGGAGAAAATGGTATCCATCTGTTCCTTGCCAAAAGATGAGTGGATATTGTAAGGCATCATAAGCTCTGAGTTTCTGCAACTTTTTGAAGACTTCCATCTTGTCTCTTTTGGGAACAATATCCCTTTATCACATTCTTAGCCAATTATTAGGATAGCTATCTCATTGGTACATGGTATATTGAACCTCCTCTGGTGTTCACTAGTGTCAGCACTAATCACAATTCTGGTCCAGTTCTTTTCATAGCTAATTTGAACTCTATAACATAAACATTGTGCTCATGCAGAAACTCTTAAAGTGTCAATATAATGTCAAACTTTAATTTATCAAGCA